CATAACAAATTTAAGGCAATTGCTAAGATGAGAATTTATGACTCCCCCCTCCCAGTCAGTCTTTGTTTTTAAGGTTCTACTGTCAGCTTGACTAACTAACAGCTTAAAAGTCAAATCTCTCACTATGAACATAACTGCCTTATACCAAATAAGACAAAGGAATGTAGATACATCAAGCAGAAAGCAAACAGAGGGGGGTGGGGGGAATCTAAGAACATTTAAAAAATAAAATTTAACCAGCTAATATTTATTTGTAGCAATATATTTACTTTTTAAAACACACCTCCTATAAGCAAAATTCTTCAAATAATTATTATAGTTAAAACAGTGGAGGAAAAGTAAAGAATGCCAGTAAAAGTTTGTGTTTCTCATGTAGTCCTATGCCCTGCATTTCAGCCAAAAAAAATGTTTAGAACTAAAAATTCTCAAATATGACTTCATGTAATATAATTAACAATGACTAATGAAGAATGAAGATTCTAATAAATTAGATGTTATTTGAGGGATCATGTAAAATTTAATGAATTTGAAATAGTTTTAGACAGAATCATTTAAATGGTGAAGATCACACAGATAAGCGCATGTCCAATCATACCTTAAAACTAGCGACTAAACTTAGTGAATTTTCAAAGCATATAGGTCTTCTCTACAGGAAAGCTTTGACAAGTGAATAAAAAATAAATGCGAAACAACTTAGTAAAACCTAATATTCACTAACAATTCTGATATAAAAATGTAAAAGCAGCCGTGACTATTGCATTTATCTGTTTGGAGTAAAACAGAAAAGAAGATTGTATGCAAAATTTCACAGTGTGAAAACAGAATATGGAGATTCTTCTGGGCCTAGTAAGAGCCTAATCTGTCCTGTTTTTCCCCCTTCTCAAAAATCCAAACGCCTTAAAAACTCTTTGGATTAGAATAAAAATGTGTATTCAAATGAAAAATAACTGACAAGGAACTGGGCTCAATTGCTTAGTTTCAACAACTTGTACATAATATTCCTCATCAAAAAGAGTATCTATCTTAAGACTATTAAACATAAGATTTATAAAAGAACGAAAAATGATTTTTCTTGGATGCTAGACAGAGGTGGGGTACAGACATAATAATTTTTAAATACCTTAGAGAGGCAGCATGGAATAGTGTACAGAGAATAGGTTTTGGAGTCAGCCAGGTTCAAGGCTGCATGATCTAGTTTTGTGACCTGGGCAAGCTACGTCATCTCTCTAATTCTAAGTCTCATGCATAAAAGAAGGATGTTGAGGAGATTATCTATGACTCTGTGCATGTGTGTGTAAATGGTTTGGCACAAGTAGGTGTTGGCTAAATACAAGTTCTCCCTTTACCCTTGAAAAATTTACCAACTTACATAACTACTTGATCAGTGGTATACTAATTCAAAAGCATTATGACCCTTTTTTGAGGGAAGAACTTAACAGTTTTCCATGGAAAAGATAAAGCTCTAAAAATACAGACTTTCACACCCAGTTAGCAACCTCAACTCAATTCATAAATATACAAATTAAGGACAGTCTTAAACTACTATAAATGAATAAATACAAATATTTCCTCAACGGGATTCACTGAGCTCTCACCATATACCAGGGCTGTTGTAGGGGTTTGGACTATTGATAAATGAATCAGATGAAGTCCCAGATCTCAGAGAATTTATATTCTAGTTATCAAACATAAACTAGGATTTTAGAGAAAGGAAAGGAATCTAATCACAGAGCCCTGCCTACTATGAGAACAACTTACAACAACATGTAGTTTTATATTTTCTAGAGATTTTCAAAAAAATTTCTGGGGATTCATGAACCTCTAGATTAAGAATCCCTGCCAGACTCTTTTCCATAAATTTTTTTTTTAAGAGAAATTTTTTTAAGTGAAAATATCACTGTTGCTTGTAATAAGACCAAACATATTCTGAAAAGTTGAACTAAAAAATAAATTTAGTAAACAACTTAATATTCTCCCAAATAGTGAACTTTCTGAATATATTTAAAATTACTTAATTTGTGACCTATACTCAACTCAGCTTTTTGAAGTGCATTTATTCAAAAGATGTTTCAAATATAAGAAAAATGAATGAATCCCTATTTCTAATGATACTACTTATAAGCATTGACAGCAGAACAATTCTATCTCTGATATAAAGCAAATATTTCAGGAGTCTAAAAAAAATCTAATTTAACTCTGACCAGCACTCTTTTTTTATATCTAAACAAAAAGTTATTTTTGTCAGTTAGAACAATTTAATTTTCATAATACTTTCTTTCTTCTCTTCTGTAATTCTATTAATTCCATAATTTCATCTTTCCCATCCCTTAAGTCCCAGCTCATGCCACTGTACCTCCTGGCAACATCTTTCACACTGTCAAGATCTAATTAAGAAACATTTACAGAGCGCATCTGTGCCTAACTTGTTGCTACAGTGGGTCAAGAGCTAAGAATTTAACTAAATGTTTATGTTTTCTTCAACCTTTCTGATTCCTTAGTATTTTTTAGCACATTTCTGCTACTTGTGATTATGGTTCAACATTTTTCTAAGGCAGTGATTATTCTGAAAGGGTATGGTAGCGTTTCCCAAAATAGAAGTCTGGGCTGCAAAGCCAGTTTTTATAGTAAATAGGGCAGTTTCTCTAATCCATATATTTATCAACTAATAATGAGTTTACACTTACCATTTGATCTCCGCAATTATTTCACAACTACTTGAATCTACCATCTCTTTAAATTAATACTGCAAATGTTTCTAACAGATTAAAATGTCACAGATACTCCTCTGAGTCTATCATTCTTACGCTCCAAACATATGGTGGTTCCTCACTGTAAAGTTCAAAAAGCCAGTCTCTTAGCAAATACCTCTGCAAACTAAATTGTTATTTTTCACGACAGTAGTTCTCTGCTCTAGCCAAAAAGATGTTCTTTCTTTCAAAGATACTTATACTTTGTTCTTGCCTCTCTCATCCACTTGAAATGTTATCCTCTTCATCTCATTTCTGCTATTCAAATCATCTTTTCTCTGAGAAGTTGACTTTTCCTACTTAGCTGACTTTCACAGCAATCACTGTATAATTCACACGGCAATGATCACCTTCTATATTTTGTCATTTCTTTTATTTGTACTAAGCTATGTGAAACATTTTTATCATTTAACTCATGTGTTTATAACTACCGTGGAAGCTGCACTGAGCTCACATGTGGGACCATGCCTATGTTTCACAGCCTCCTCCCTCCATCAATTCGCTACATGGTACACTGTCAATGTTTGATTTGCTGATGTTAATAAAAAGCTTATACATAAAGGTAATTAAGTATGTATATTCTAATTTCATATGTCCATATAATAATCTTATTTAAGGCAAGGTTTATATATTGAGCATTTCCCCCCAGTTTCATGGTTCTGTTGCCTATTTATTTCCTGTTACATAGCTACTATGTATAATTATTTTCTCTTTTAAAAATTTAAAAGTCATCCTTGGTGTATGTTAAACAGAAATTTGGGGTTTTAAACACTTAAAAAATCTAGTTTGGAGATTTTCTTGAGGGACTAAAAAATTCAGCAAGGATTGCATTTTGAAACACCTGAGGAAATGGAGTACTTTGTGGCTAATAATAAATGAGTAACTTCTAAGGGCTTCCTTCCTCTAATCAAGGTGGTGGATGCCATGTGGAACCTATAATCTAGCTGAAGAGGTAAGAGTCTCCGCTCTCCACCTCCCAAATCACCAACTTTTTAATCACGTCAACATCCTATACTCATTTGTTTGACTGAGGGGATCTCTGAATGTATCACATGATATATCTTTATTTTTAAATTAATTTTCACAGCTTTGGATAGAATTCTTTATACTTTGAGGTACCTGCTGCAAAAAATGACTCAGAATCACTGCTGTTGGCCAAGATATAAATTCCGTTATTAGCAATATATATTAATAGTATCACTTTCATTCAACTCACTAAACTGTATTGTATTAATTGTGAAATTTTCTTTTATGCCAGGATACTTTTACACTTAAGGAAAAGAAATTATATTATATTGCTATGCCATAACAAATTCTGAAAAACAATGCAGTCGAGATGAAACAATTTCTAGCCGACAGCTATTACTATCTCTCTCAAACTGCCAAGAGGAACTGGAGATTTATAGGGGCACTTTCTTCCCAATGAGTTTCATTTCTAAGTTTGGCTCCCTTAAAGCTTTTCAAGTATATTTATTAAAAATTAAGTCATTTGTTTTTAGACGTCCAAAAACTTGAAAAGTCTAAGAGAAAATACAAATTTGAACTGCTGACTTTGAAACTGAGTGCAATTTTAAAAAACAACACTGTTTTGTCCCCTTGTACCAGTACTAAAACAAACTTCCTTCCTTCTGAGACAAGCAGCTGGCAGCTCATCAGCATTTCTAAGGATAGCATAATAAAAAGTAAGAGGATAAAGCTTCTGCTCAGATGAAGCACAGCAGGGCTCAACAGAAATGGTTATCTCAGTTCAACACCCACATATCCATAATACAACAATATCAGAAAGAAATTATCCTCAGGTATTCCAATTGGGCACACAGGGACACTGAAAGGTCTGGTCATTAAACTAATAGCTCACTCACTATCACTAACTTCTGGTGAAGGTAGCAGCCTGCTGGAGGAGAAATCAAGATATTTAAAAGCACATTCTTGCCTCAAAATCAAGGCTTAAGGGAGAAGGAGAAGAAAAAGCAGACATACAGGGAGGAAATAAAAGACAGCCCAAACAAAAAGGCAATGCCCAGAAAGTGACAACAAAGCAACAGCAAAGCTAGCTATCTATGTTCAGAATGGAATTTTATGTCTACCTCCATTTCAATACATTTCCTTAAATTTTAACTGATGCGTTAAAAATACCAATAGTAATTTATTACAGACCATAATTTATTATAGACTTCATTATATGAATGTATTCATATCTAGCATTAATACTGTAAAATTACTTCAAATGTTAGGAAATAAAATAAAACTTACCCCATCACTTTCTCTATGTGGATTCAGTCTACTATAAACAGCTTCAATAACATTGCGCCTAAAAAAAAAAAGCTTTAGTTTTCTTAAATTATATTCAATTTTAAGTTTGTGAATGTTTCAATACTTTGTCATAACTACACTAAAAAGTTAACTGCCACACTCAATACTTGCCAAGAACATAGTTTCTACATTTCATTCTCAGAATTTGATTTTGCACTATTTATTTGTTCTCATTTAGCAAGGCAAGAATAACCTTCATCCTCAACGGTATGATAAATAATTTCATTTAAAAAATCTTTTTTGGATGAAGTTTTAGAGTTCTTCTCTAGTACAAGAAACATTAACCCATTTTGTCTTGAGATAATTGATTTACCTCTGATTTAAGTTTTCTTACCCCAAATTATTTAATTACTAATTATAAATGAGCTCAAAATTAGCTCTTTTTGTTCTACTTACTTGCCAGCAAGACCTCCCCCAGGAGGCAAATTTGGGATATTTTCTGCAGACAAGATGCGCATGACATGGGCAAGATCAGGCATTCCTTCCTCACCAGACTTCTCCATAATCTCTGTGGGTTTTTAAAAAAAGGTCCTAAATTAATGTGATAACCCAGTATTTAAAAAGAAGTGAAAAAAGACGTACTATTTGGTAGTACCTATTTTAAAACATAAAAAACAAATATTACCTGAAAAGTGACTTAAATGTAAATGTTGTCTTAAAGAAATGCTTATCATAAGTCCCAAAACCTTTCAAAGTGTTTCAGGCAGACTATACAAAGTCTTTTTTAATTGTTTAATAAATTTTATCATGTGATCTTTTTTTTAAAAAAAAATATTACCATCAACACACAAGGAATTTTAAAAAGGTAACATAAAAAGTTACTTGTTGACCAAAATGTTATGGGGGGAGGAGAAAAAAGTTATTTGCATACATATGTTCATTGCAGCATTATTCATAAAAGCAAAAACTGGAACAAACTAAATGTCCGACAATAAGGGGCCAGTTAAGAAAATGTTGGCGTAGCCACTAAGTGAAATGATTTATTTATAATCACTAAAAACGGTCCCTATGAACACAGTAACAGCTACATGGAAAAATACCTTTTATCTAATTTTAAGTAAAACAACATAAAAGTTATTAATACCATATTTACAGGTAAACAAAAGCAATAGCTGGATAAGAATTGTAAGGAAAAGGGGGAAGATTAAAAATCATTGTATAAGGTTTTTGATACCTAAATAGATCGTTAGGTTCTACAACAATTTATTTAAAGGAAAAAAGGAAAAATACAGCACTTGCTTAGAACCGAACAAAAAATTTACACTTTCCATTTCTATTTACAATTTATGGAAACAGATTTTTAAAAGCATGATTATTTGGACATTGGCAAGACGTGAACTCCTCAAAAATCAAATGATGAGTACATACTTTTAAGACTACAAAAAAGCAGTGTCTTCGGCAGCTCTCAAGATGCAAAATTCAAACTGTTTACCACGCCTCACAAGACTCTTACTTTGACCTTATTGTTCATCACTCTTTCAACCCTGCCTGAGTCCATCTCCAAAGGCTCTATTCAAAGAAGCTTTCTCCTGCTTCTGTATCTTCGCATGTACTCTTTCCTTGGTTTGGAATACTTCTTGTGCCAATCCAACCAATCTCTTCACATGTTGAACAGAGATTTTCATCTTTCAGGTTTCAACTTTATGTATCACTTTCTCAAATTCTCCTCTAACCTAAACCTAGAGTAGGTACACTGCTATATACTCCCATACACATCCAGACATATACCATAGTCATGCTATATACTCCCATAAACATGATGTTTACTGTATCATAGACTGCAAGCTTCATGAAGGCAGGACTATAATTTTTCTACCTTAGACTTGTATCTTTATAGCATAGTGTTTGACAACCTCCACAATGCTGACGTTTCAGACAGGGCAATTTTTTGTTGTGAGGGCTGTCCTGCACATTGCAGAATGTTATACAGCATTCCTGGCCTCTACTCACTAGATGTCAGTAGTACTCTCTCAGTTGTGACACCAAAAATGTCTCAAGACATTGTCACTTGTTCCTTAGGGGCAAAATCTCCCCCAGCTGAGAACCACTGCAGTCTAGCACATTACCAACCAGTTTTCAGACCCCCCATTAGTGCCATTCCAGTCTAATTCACCACCATTGTTTGCCGCCTACATTAATTCATGATTTCTAGTCAGTTATCTTGGGTTCTTCTCTTGTCCCCTCTTTACAATCTCTTCTCCACACAGCAACTAAGAGGGGTCCTTTGAAAAAAAGTCAGAGAAAGTTAGTCTTGTGCTCAAAATCTTCCAATGAATTCCTATCACAATTTTTTTTTTTTGGAGACAAAGTCTTGCTCTGTCACCCAGGATAGAGTGCAGTGGTGTCATCATAGTTCACTGCAACCTCAAACTCGTAGGCTCAAATGATCCTCCTGCCTCAGCCTCCTGAGTAGCTGGGACAATGGGCGCACACTACCTCGTCACCATGCCCAGCTAATTTTTCTATTTTTTGGTAGAGATGGGGGTCTCGCTCCTGCTCAGGCTGGTCTCAGAACTCCTAAGCTCAAGCAATTCTCCTACCTTGGCCTCCCAGAGTGCCCAGAGTGCTAGGATTACAGGCGCAGAGACCCAGCCTTCTATCACAATTTGAATAAAGTCCAAAGCCCTCATTTTAGTCTACAGAGCCCCACATGATGTGCTTCCTAGCACCCTCTCTTAATGTTCTTCCACTTTTCTATTAGCTCATTCTAACCTAGCCACACTCACTAAGCACATCCCATCCTCAGTCTTGGCTGTTCTCTTTGCCTGGAATGCTTCTCCCTCAAATACCCACTCTCTGCATATGCAAGTCTCTGCTCACATGTCCTTCCTTCCTCACAGAGACCTTCATAACCAACATTCCTTGTTGTTCTCTGTTCAGCCTATTTTATTTCCCTCCTGTTTAAAAAAAATTATTGGTTTCTACTAGAATATAAACTCTATGAGACTTGTTTTGGTTTTTGCTATATCCTTGGTGACACACAGGATCAACAAACACTGAGCAAATGAATAAATGTAGAAAGCACTCACTAAATATCTAATTAATCAATTTAGGTGAAATACTTCCCTGTTTAACAAGATACCTCTCCCACCTGACCACTCACCACCAAAAGCACATATACAGACTTAACCAACCAACACACCAGAATGCTTTTACCTTAAAATCTAACGTCATATTACATGATTTAAAACTCAAATAGAAATAAAACACCCCTGAAGAACACTGCCTTATAAAAAAGAAATTACATCTTAAGCATCAACTCAAACTGATTTGTAGTGGCTGTCTTGCCAACAATTTAAAGTCTTCTGATTGAGTGATAATTAAGTATTTGCTACAGGCCCCAGAGATCATGATATTACATTTGTCATCTCTACTGTATAGCATATACTTTGAAAAGATATAAACTATAGAAAAGAAAATTAATATTAAATATTAACAATCCACGTTGAACTGAATTGATCATGCCTTTAAGAAATTAAGATTTCGCTATTACAAAAGAGTTAATAAAAGCTACGGCTTAGTTTGCTGAGGACTTATGTGATAGGCATCATACTAGGTGCTTAACAAAATGATCTCATTTATTTCAACAAAAAGTCTCTCCTTGGACGAAAATTTTATCAAGACTCTTGAGTTCTTTCAGATCAGGCTGACCTTGGGACTCCCTCTCTGTCCTAGTAGAAACTAGGCTGAGCAAGAATACTGCTAAATGACTTTGTAGAAAATCCCCCACCCTTGCTATGTGACCACCCAGGATATCTTATCACCCTGGCTTGCCCTTAGCAATGATCCTATCAAGTCAGTTTAGCCTTTATCTTGATGTTTCTTCTTAGTAATCTTAGATCCACTGACTCTCCCAACCCACACTCTGCTCCTTGGTTATAAATTCTCACTTATCCTTGTCCCATCTTTTTCTTCCACTGCAAGGCCCCATTGTATTGGTCCCTAAATCTTTTGCCATGGCCCCTCTTGAAAAAAGTCTGCCTTACTATCTTTAACAAGTGTCATGAATAAGCTTTTTCTTAAACAATTTATTAAAACAACCTCTACCTTTAGTTTGGAATAAAGAAACTGGAACCTTGAGAGGTTACGCAAGTTGGATAAGATCACATAACAAGTAGCTAACCAAACTGAGAGCTCTTCCTAAAATAAAAACTACCCAGGTTCTTTATGAATGAGGAAAAAAGAGTAAGAAAAGTCCCCCCACCATCTGATAAACTACAGACATCAATCTGCCACAATATATTACAGTTTATCAGAAAATAATTAACTCCTATAAAAGCTCTTTTTAATAATTATGATATTATTAACAGAAATATGAGTGACTCTGGCATGGTCTTCAAAGTGTTCCCACATGTTTCTCATCTTTCCATCAACTTAAAAGCAGGACTCATTGGGACTAAAAAGCAGAGACCTAAAAGCAGGATTCATTCAGAGTTGAAGAAATTGTAGACCGAAAAAAAAATCAAAAAAACTTTAAACACACTGTTTAAGGTACGTAGCTAAGCTAGATAACTGTAAACATAGAAAAGATTAAAGATTAATCCCCCTTCTCAAATTTGCAGAAGAATGGAGTTCTTCTATGATAATTACACATTTGAAATCACAAATCTTTACATTTGAAAACTCTCACTGATTACTGTGGCTACTATACAGAAAATACAACTCATAATAGATCAAATTCAACAAGCCTTTCACACCATAATCATAAGTTATATCATTCAAATGTATCCTCTCTCTCTCTCCCTCCCTCCATCTCTCTCTCTCTCTTTCTTTCTTTGGAGACTGTCACCCTGGCTAGAGTGCCCTGGCATCATCATAGCTCACTGCAACCTCAAACTACTGGGCTCAAGTGATCCTTCTGCTGATAAGGAAAACCCCCATCTATTACCTGGTGCATCAGCCACCTGAGACCCCCACCCCTCATGGAAGACCCTCATCAACATAATATTAACCTATCACCTGGCACATCAACTAATCTATTACCTGGCATCAACATAATACTAACCTATTACCTGACACATCAACTAACCTATTACCTGGTGGTACCTGAGACCCCACCCCTCAGACCACCCCAACTTAATAAAAGTGGGAAAAATCAGGTAGACAGGGCTCAGAATTTGGTGGCGAGACCCCTCTGAGCCCGCTGGCGAATAAACCTTGATTCTCTGACTCTCTGTGTGCTGCTCGATTTGTCCTGGGAACCACCAGCTGTTAACACTTGCTGTAACACTGCCTCAGCCTCCTAAAGTGCTAGGATTACAGGCGTGAGCCACTGCACCCTGCTCTGATATATTTTCTATAAAAAAAATAATAAAGCCACAAAGGTGTTAGGAGGAACTATAGGTCAATATGTAACCCTGAGTTGGGCAAAGAATTCTGTATGACATCAAGCTTCCGCCCACCCCACAAAAAAGGGAAAAAAAGATTGACAATATAACTCCATAAAAAGTACTTTCACATCTCAAAAACAGCACATATAAAATCAAAAGGCAGTATTAATATTATGATCCTGTCACAATCTCTAGGGCCTTAAGACTGCAACATACATTCTCAATTTCTCAGGGTAACCATTAAATGAATTTCTAAAGGAATATATAATAAGCAAATGCTGGGATGAACTAGAACATAATTAATCCAAAAGAAGGCAAATGGAGAAAAAAGGAAAAGGAATAGATGAAACACAGGAAAGTAAGATGATAGATTTAAACCCAAACATACCAGCATTTACATTTAAGATAAACAGACTAGCTTCCGCCCTCTTTTCATTCTTGAATAATTCAGCCCAAAAGCATTAGATTTGCTTATCTAAGCAAATCAAGTCTTTCAGGGAGTGGAGGGGGCAACAGGGGCAGCAGCAGGGTTGCATGGAATATCAATGCTTAGGCATAGTAACAAAAGCTTTAGGACTGTGTGAGACAACCTAGAATGGGGTTACCAAAGCCAATGTGGAATGAGGAAGGCATCTGCACCAGGGTTAGCAGTGACAGAAGATTTCTCTGATTAGTAGGAGCCAGGTTTCTCACTAAAGGAGAAGGGAGTTACAAATATGAAAAGTGAGAAAAGTAGAATAAATCCTGTAGTACTGTACAGTTGGAGATATTGGTGAGAACAATAAACAGATGACTGATGGATGGATAGAGACAGAAAGAAATAGAGACAGAAAGAAATATAGGCGTATACAATGAGTGTGTGGTGTGTAGTTCTGTCCTCTTAGAGGGTCCAGGAACAGAAACAACCCAATAGCACACCTAATGCCCAAATCTCAAGTCCTAAATACTATTCTCCCCTAAACTAAAAGAGAGATCACTAGGAAAATGGCCCATTAAAGGATTGTGCAGGGAAAATAAAGATGAGCCTGGAACAACTAATTATGCCAGAAAGTAGGAAGTGCTCCAAGAATTATGGGGACAGGTCAAAAAGACAATATAGCAAGCTTGAAGAGGCTCTCACAGGCTGAATCTAGGACAATATAAGCATCAAAATAAATAATGTAGTAACAGTTTATAACACAATGAATAAAACAGGAATCTGTGAATTCATGCTCATATAAATAAATAAATGGGTAGAAGAGAAAATTTTTCCTTGCAGTAAAATGCTAACTAATACATATAAAAGGAAGGACTGAATCAGAACACCACCATTTGGCTATTATTCTAATAGCAACTGAATTCAGGCAAGAATCACCAGTGGATGCTAAAACTGGTTGCTGAAAACTTAATGAGGAATAGAATCTCAAAGTATCTCCCCTAGAATGCTTATTAGTAAGTCTAACATACTTATTAAGTATTTATTAGGTATAACATGATTATTAACTTTTCAATGGAGAAACCTAAAAGACAACACCTTAAGCAAGTCATAAAAAGTGTTAAAATCATGATTCAACAATGGGACAAATCAGTATCACATGGCTCCTGATATGATACACTGAGAAGAATCTAGAATCATTTCTTTGGTATTCCTGCCAATGTAGAACCTAAATCTTATCAAGAGGAAACATTAGCCAACCCAACTTGAACATTCTACAAAGTTACTAACCTGTATTCTTTTTTTTTTTTTTTTTTTTGAGACAGAGTCTCACTGTGTTTCCCGGGCTAGAGTGCCGTGGTGTCATCCTAGCTCACAGCAACCTCAAACTTCTGGGCTCAAGCAATCCTTCTGCCTCAGCCTCGCGAGTAGCTGGGACTACAGGCATGCGCCACCATGCCCGGCTAATTTTTTCTATATATTTTTAGTTGTCCAATTAATTTCTTTCTATTTTTAGTAGAGACGGGGTCTCACTCTTGCTCAGGCTGGTTTCGAACTCCTGAGCTCAAACAAGCCACCCACCTCGGCCTCCCAGAGTGCTAGGATTACAGGCGTGAGCCACCGCACCCGGCCCTAACCTGTACTCTTAAAAAATGTCATGGTCAACAAAAACAAGAAAAGACAAGTGAACTTTTAAATTGAGGGAGACTAAAGAGGCATGACAGCTAAATGTAGCACATGCTCTACACTGGATCCTGCAAATGACATTACTGGGATGACTGGGGCAATCTGAATGGGATCTGTACATTACACAGTAATATTTTATCAATGTTAATTTCCTGATTTTGATAGATGTACTACTTTTATGTAGAGACCATCCTTGTTATGTTAAGAGGTACTGGGATATCATATTTGCAACTTACTCTCAGTTGGTTCAGGAAAAAGATTAGTTATTGGCAGGGGGTGGAGAAAGGGAGGGGGGAGAGAGAGAGAATATGAGAATGTTATAGGAAGTATATAGAGAGATAAGGCAAATGCGGTATAATATAAACAAATGAGGAATCTAAGAAAAGGATTCTACATGTACATCGGAGCTCTTTGTGATATTTTTGCAACTTTACTGTTTAGGAATGTAATCAGGGAAAGGAAAAAAAAAAGCAAGCTTTAATGGACTATTTTCAAATTATGTTCTCTTTGGTGGTATAACAGATATGTTCAACTTTTCCCGGGCCAAGAAATCCCCACATTGGTCTAAGACAGTAAATCTTAAGCAGATAGATGTTTTTTAAGGCCTTGTCTTGAAATACTTGTTTTTCCTAAGGAAATTTTAAAATAATCATTTCATAAGGAAGAATAATTTCACTTTCCTTCTAAATAAAAGAAAGAATAAAAAAAGCATCTTTCTTACCTTCAACCCGTGATTCCAAGTGCTTATCCAACTCTGAATCTTTTTTCACTGCTTCATCTGAGACCTTGGGGGCATTTGAAAAGCAAACTAGCACAATACTCATGTTATCTCTACTTCCCTGTATATTAAAGAAAGAAAGAGAAAAAGATTATATTTCTATAGTCTACCAACTTTCTATTATTTATTCCAAAACAGTTAATTACTTTAAGCAATTACAGTTCAATCATTCAGAATGTATACATTCAATATATTCATTTTTATTCCAAAGGACTATTTAAAACACAACTTAAAAAAAACAAGGTGTCTACGTTTGGGCAGATCTGTAATTACTTTGGATTTTTAATTCTGTATTAACTATTCTTACGCACCACCACTCCACAGTCTAAGATATGAAGGTATCTTCATACATATTAAATCCTCTAAACCTACAGTCCCCAACCCCCAGACTGGTACTGGTACCAGTCATGACCTGTTACGAACTAGGCCACACAGCAGGAGGTATGCAGTGGGTGTGCTAGCAAAGCTTCATCTGTATTCACAGCTGCTCCCCATAGCTTGTATCACGACCTGAGCTCCACCTCCTATCAGACCAGTGGTGGCATTAGATTCTGCATTATGGTGAGTTGTATAATTATTTCATAATATATTACAATGTAATAACAATAGAAATAAAGTACACAGTAACTGTTATGTGCTTGAATCATCCCAAAACCACCCCCCTCCCTCCAGGTCCATGGAAAAACTGTCTTCCATGAAACTGGTCCCTGGTACCAAAACGGTTGGAGACCCTGCAAATTATTTTCCACTCAAGATTTCATATCCTCTGAGAGGCTTAAATCCAAAATGCATCTTCCCAAACACATGTGAAATTTTTTCCAGCTAATTAACCTATATCAGAGCAATGCTACAACTCTGTAGAATTTAACATAGCTGAAAACTGTTGTTCAGTAGGATACCCAACAAGCTAAAATGAACAAGAAACTGTTCTGAGGGTACAGCACCAAGCAGTGGAATCTAACTGGATAAATGAGATGCAACTGCAGTTATATGATAACTTAAAAAAAAAAAAGGCAGATTTGTTGTATAAAACCACAAAGTTTCAGGGTCTTTATAGGGCAGCTAAAACAGCTAATTTAAGAACAAATTTTACTGCTACCTTTTAATCACACCCTCACAAATTATCTGTATTAGAAAGCACAGACTATATACCATTCTAGTACAAGATTACACAAATTAAATTAAAAATATCTTCTCATTACTTTTTCTACAGTATATTACTTTAACTGAGTTTCTTAGAACTGATGAAGCTGTCCATAGAATGATTTTTTTTTCAAACTTTTTCTATTCACTTTTAAAAAACTAAGTCAATGAACGTGATAAGCTATTTTGTCTGATAGTGGGGTCTGCCAAATTTGCCAACTCAAGTGAAAGAAGCCAAAATCACACCCATTCTAGTCTTTCTCAGTCATTATGACCAGAATTTCGGCAGGCAATGCTTGGTTGAGACTTGCACCTTTTCAGAACCCACATGAGACAGTCAAAAAGACAGACAGGCCTTGAAGAACCACCTCCTAAATCAATGAGTTTACAGTGAAGGTCGGGTCTTAAGAAGACATCACAAATGGTAACTCCACAGACTCTTGTGCTTTGGAAGGAAACACCATCATGAATGTGTAACGAGAGTCTCAATATCTGGAAAATCAGGATTTCCAAATTGGCCAAAACTAATTTCATTCCTTAACGAAAGCCATCAAAATTTTCCTGACTTAATATCAGAAATACTGTATTTAGTTGTATGAATATACATATATGAATATATCGAAAATTTTAAATTAAAAAAATTTAAAGTATACCATGAATATTCAAGAATCATTATAATGCCAATGATGTTTTTAAAAACAATTTTGTGAATAAACAGAATTAACATTTTTAGAAATCTAGATTCTTCTAACCATCTTCCATTTTGGTACCAATCATGAACATTGTTTAACAATTTCTAATCAATATAATTTCCATTAGATTTCTGAGTTATAAAATATAGATCCTTTTGGAAAATTAACTGAAAGATAGTTTCAAGAAGTTCATGGCTCTCCAAAGATATTTAAAGGAAATAATTTACATTTATACCTCAGGCATGTGTGATTTCTATG